ATCAATCCATCTCCTTTTATGAAAGCTAAAGGTCACAAAAGCGAAAGAATACAAATGCAACATCATCTATAAAATAAATCCTAATAACTGGAATAAACATCACACTAGACAAAATGAATGCTCTCTTCCTCTACGTGTACACAAACGTAAGTCATTATGTCCTTTTTTTTCTCTTTGAAAATTAATTTCACTGGATTATACTTCTTGAATAACATCTTCAAACACTAATCTTTTCGATTACTGCTTATACTCTTACTACTCCTACCACTACGGGATTTGAATCGACAACTGCATCTCTGTGCTAATGTGGTATGGCAACTCGAACTGATGTACGTACGTACGAAGATCTACGTTGTTACTGACTGAGAAGAACACGGTATATTATCACTGAAATCAATTAACGTAGACAACTACGAAAATAATTTCGACTGGCGAAATGTCAAAGTTCTGGAACGAAGAATAATTTTTAGCATTATAATATTCAGATCAGTAGACATCCCAACTAAAACAAGAAATTCAGCAAAGAAATTCTTATAAACAATCGTATTTATAGTCAATTTATTTGCTGGTTGCTATCATCATGCACACTCCTATCAAGTAGTCTATACCTACCAACGCTCTTCAGTCCAACAGCCAATGACGTGAATGACTGACGCCGACTTTTGGTTTGGCTGTCACCATTTTCCGACCTACTCCTAAAAAAGTTAACACGGGCATTGCGGTTGGTAGTACTCAAGTGTGAATATCGTAATCATGGTTGGTCAACATAAGAAACGACACTAGATACGATGGAAGGCACAAATTTGGAATGTCAGCACGATTGGTATTAACACTTTAGCTCCTTTGACAGAATTTGTGATTGAATACTAGTGACCAATGATTGCTTTATACTTTTAAAGGTCATGTTTTATAGCCACTGAGTAATTCAAAGAGAGAACTTCTGACAGTATAAATGATAAAACTTAGATTAACAGTTTAGATGATCAATTGTTGTGGAGAATATTTGAACTTGGTAACTTGACATATCACATTTTCATTGTTTCTGTTTTATTGAACGTTGTTACTTATAAACAAAATCTATATGACTAAGTTAATATCTCCACTAGCCAAACATACATGACTCGATGCAAGGATAAAACACCGATAATATATGGTGATTTTTGATGTCCATACTGAGTGTAGATCAAAACGATGTATGAATACACTGATTCCTGTATGTTTATCTACACTAATTAATACTTAAATATTGAATACATTCAAATAATTGGTCCTTAGCACTGATTGATTAATAAGTGATTGGATGAATATACATTTTATAATCCTTACAACAATAAACTGATACATTCAAAATAATAAAACCGGAATATTGAGCTATGTAGTAGCCTCTTCCCAATAAATCCCATGTGACTATGTATCCTGATCATATAGAAGGCTCAAAGGACAATTTCAAGGACAAATAGTAGGATAAGAATGTTAATGGACCTTGAAAGAAAGTGAATTAATCATCTAACCAAGAATACTGTTTATATCGGTCTGGGAACTCACAAAGTTCTATGGTTTGTGTTAGTATTCTGATGATGTAGCTCCGCACTTAACCTTGGTCTTGTCTTTCTCTAGTAGTATTGATTTACTCAAATGTTTAGGATTTGTACAGTTTCATAGATAATTATTTTTTAAATGGAGATTCAATTACCATAATGATATGAGTCAGTCAGTCAGCTGCAACGTAGGACCAGGCACGTATATGCATCGGTCCAAGTTGCCATACCGCATTAGCACAACAAGATGAACACCGGATTCATAGAAGCAGTTAATTCAGTGGTGGTAATATATAGAAGAAAGAGTGTGTATAAGGAGATAGTACAGGAAGGTAGAATTAGTCCCTAGAAAGAAAGATTTGAAGTGATTTTAATCTCTTAATTTAAGGAAGACAGAGAGTGTATACACCGACGCCATTGTGATCGATTCTGAGCCATGTCACCAAGAGTCTCCAACCATTGGTTACGATAGTCACGCGGACCCCAACCAGGCAGTCTGCATCTGCCAACATGGCTCAAACCAGAAGTTAGTGACTTTAAGCACTGATGCCACGTTTTGGTTTGGCCGCCCCTAACTTTCTTCCAATCATCCCTAACACCGGTTAGCATTGCGCGTCGTGGTAATCGGTGTTCAGGCATACGCAGCACGTGGCCCAACCATCTCAGTCGATGAAGGTTCATAACCTCATCAACTGATTTACCATCATTCCGTAATACCCTGCGTCTAACCTCACTATTACTTACCCGGTGATCCCAGCAGATACCCGCAATTTTTCTAAGGCACCTGTGGTCAAATACTAGTAACTTACGAATATCTTCTACTCTTAAAGGCCATGTTTCACAGCCGTATAGTAGAACGGAACGAACTGCCGCGCAGTATACTCGTCCCTTAATTGATAGACGGATATCTCGCCTTCGCCATAGATGACGTAAGTTGGCAAAGGCCAAGCGAGCTTTTCGAATCCGTGCTGAGATTTCGTCACACACCAACCCATTAGGGCTGATCAGACTTCCAAGATAAGTGAAGTTGTCAACGCGTTCGACTACTTCACCCCCTATCCTTAGTTCAGGTGTTGACGCAGACCAGTCCTGAAGCAACGACTTGCATTTAGAGGGAGAGAAGCGCATCCCAAACATTCTGGCATTGTTGCTCAGTGCTACCAAAAGACTCTGCATTTCATCAGCGTCTTCACCAAACAGGACTATGTCATCTGCGTATTCTAAGTCAATAAGTGGACCTCCTGGTAGGAGATCAATACCTGAGAATTCAGTCGATGAGAGCGTTATTTCCATCAGTAGATCTATGATGAAGTTGAACAAAAATGGAGAAAGTGGACAGCCTTGACAGACACCACTTGAGGTTGCAAAAGCAGATGACAGGTCGCTATAAGCTCTGACTCGACTAGTAGTGTTCGAGTAAAGAGCCTTCACAAGGTTTATGTACTTCTGAGGTACGCCTTTCAATGACAGACACTGCCACAGAACCTCTCGGTCAACAGAGTCAAACGCTGCTTTTAAATCAAGGAAGACCATTATTGTCGGACGCCGATACGTATGCCTGTGTTCTAGAACCTGACGAATGGTGAATATGTGGTCGATGCAGCCACGACCAGGTCTGAAGCCAGCCTGATTTTCACGTGTTTGCAGCTCACGAGTCTTAGTTAGGCGTCCGAAAATTATCGAAGCTAGTATTTTAGATATTATATTAGTTAAACTAATCCCTCTGTGGTTGTCACAGGATGATTTTGACCCTTTCTGAAATATTGGGACGATAAGTGATTGTGACCAGTTAGATGGGATAAGGTCTAACTCCCAGATTTTAGTTAAAATATTAGTCAACCTAATCGCTAAAACTAGACCACCATCCTTAAAGATATCCTTAATGATATGATGTTGCAGTATTAGTTAGAATACTTAGCTTCAACAATTAGTTTCATGCTAGAGACTGATATCTCTTCTGATAGAATCACTTTAAGTGTAGTTCAACCCAATAGCACTTCTAAACACTGAGTTAACCTGTTTGTGATGTCAAAGCAAACATTTATCTTTATTCTGCCAATATTAAATTAGACTATGTGGCCTTTTTAATCAACGTTTATTTATTGAATGAATTATGTAAACATATTTCTTTCTTCGCCTTGCAATTAAACTTGTTCCACTCGATTGAAAATTAATGCAGCTTGTTTGAAAATACACCGAAGCAAAAAAGAAAGTTAAGAAGTGAACAGTCAGAAAATATAAGCGATGGAAACTATATCTTAAACAAAAGTTATTGCTAATTTATAGGGTTTGAGGATATTGTTGAATAATGTAACGTTGCATCAATAGTTAGATGGTTCCCAAATGTTTTGGTACGACAGAGGATTTGGAGAGTTCTGAGTTCCGGTCGAAGTGCCCTCACGTGTCAACATGTATTTAGGAGCCATCAAGTCACTCCTTTCTTGTGGTGGCCATGTTATCCATAAAATTGATGAAACGGAAAGAGAATATTCGGCACTAAAACCGGGTTAGCTGTAAAAATCTGGTCTAGTAAAGTGGGATAGCCCGGGTTACAAGCCAGTGTTCTTATTCCGATCTTGCTGACGTTGGTATCGCACTAAGCGCCAGGGTAGAGACGGTACAAGTGACCAGACTCCTATTAACAGCCAGATAACTAGGACCGTCTCCTGAAGCTTCGCACAGACCACCTGTTTATGGTCTGCATAAACTTTTGGAATAGTTATTGACGATGTACTACCTGAAGACCTTTCTCAGCAACATGAGACCAAACTTAAATTGATCACATTGTGATCAGCTACCACCAGTTTGGTTGTAAACAAGACCGTAACTTCTTGTGGAGTACTCGTGTCCTCATTGCTACCAATTTTATTTCAGTGGTGAACAAATCGATAAAAGAAGATTGGTTGCAGCTCCTGTTGCAACAAAATATCAAACCGAGCTAGATTCAACGCTAGCTACCAACACACCGAAAAGTGCAGATGGGCACTGGCACGACTTCCTCGTTGGCATCTTAGCAAAAGTACAAAATAGTGACTTGAAACGTTACCAGATATGGCTCATACTAAAAGTTTGTGGCGGTCCTTCCGAAAAACGTTTGAATGTAATTTTATTAACCAAACTACATTGCTCATTTCCTTAGCATAATTTCACTTATTTTTTATCAATTTATTGTTGTTTACTAACCTTTCTTCATCTATTTCTTGAACATACTGTAGAGTATATTTATGTTGGTGCCTTTTCGTACCAATATTTTTATATCTAAATAAATAAAATAAAAGATTATCATTGAAAACCAGGAATGCTGAACAGATATTTTGTCCTAATGTAACACTCCTTGGCAACAAGTACACACAACCTCACCAGTAGTCGAACCCAGGACCTCGTGTAACCCTTAAACCACTGAGCGAATTCCAAGAAGTTACTTGTTGACCGAATAGCTGGAAACAATGAGAAGTACAGAAATTTTCCTCTTTTTTGATCAATAAAACACATTCACAATATTGTTTAAGTCAAACGATAAAAAAAAGAAAATGATGAAAGAATTATTTACGACTGTGCATATTTGAGAATAAGTAAAACAATACTAGCAATAATATCAATAAGAAACAAATTAGTCATTTCAGAAACTGTACATCATATAAATTACTGTACAGATATTATTACGTACTAAAAAGAACAAAGAAAGAATATCGTGTAAGAATAATGTGACATAGGGGATAGAAATATCCATAGAATAAAATACAATACTCAGAATGATAACCATCGCTCATCATAACACTAAGTTATCTAATTAGCTCGGCCGACAGCTCTATCTGTACCATGCATCAGATGACCAACTCGCCTCATTTTTCGTTCCATTTTCTTTTGTTTCTTTTCATTAACCTGAGTTTCTTGATTTGGATCAAATATCCACGGTGCCAAAATATTCACCCAAAGAACGTAGAATAACCGAATAGGAATCTGGTATTATACATAAGACAAAATATATAACAATTATATATGGAATGTTGCTACTTAATATTAATGAGTAGTGTAAATCTTATTTCGATAATGCAATAAGAAGCCAAGGCATCAATAAACCTTACTATACGTCCTTGAAGGCCTTTGTATAACACTACAAATGCTGATTTGATGTCAACCTTATGACCCGTCACAATCAAATGTTTCGCAATGGAGGATGATGCCTGTCTATCCTGTGATCTTATTTGACCATTGGAATCCATTTGTTTTTGCAACCATTTTGGTATGTGTTCACCCACCCGTAATTGCAAATCACGATTGCTCCTCCCTATGTACGTGTTTCCACACATACATGTAAATTGATAGACACAATGGGATGTGACACAATCGCTTACGTGCTGTTTGGGTTTTTGGTGAAACATAGACCTTGTCTTTTCATTAATGACAAGTTGGGCTGCATAAAATGTCCGGTTGATAGCTAATTTAAATCTCCGTTTCAACATGAGACTATTTGTGTCGCCTCTGAATGGTAACGTAATATAAACTCGCTTTTTGGGTGTCAGAAGCGTCATAGGTCTAATCGTATTGCAACTCTTCCAGCGGTTTATGAACTTCAGGGAATAACCATTATTCACTAACGTATTAGTCAAGAGCTTCATCTCGAGTTAAATAGTATCATTAGTACAAATACGATTGATTCTATTGAATAAGCTCTCTATTGGACCGCGTTTGTAATGAATAGGGCAGTGACTATGAAAATTAAGATATTGCCCTGTCGATGTTGGCTTTCTGTATATAGCACGTTGGATGGAACCATCATCTCTCCTACTGATCAGGATGTCTAGAAAAGGAAGTTTGTTGTTCTTCTCTTCTTCACATGTAAGAGAAATGTGCTTTTGACTTCTATTGAATTCTTTTAACAAGCGGTTTATGCTTTTACCTTTATCCCCTATGACTATTATATCATCAACATATCGTTTATACAGTCCCATCTTTCGAATTGAGTCTTCAACTAAATTTTCAACATATCCCATGAACACATCAGCCAGCAATGGTCCTAGAGGGCTCCCCATAGCTACACCATCTATTTGTCGGAAGTGCTCACCTTCAAAAGTGAATTTTACATTATCTGTACACAATAATAATAAATCTTTAAGAGTGTTAACAGGAAATGGCAGTGGAAGGTTATTCAAAGAAATATAGTCACACAAAATATTAACAGTTTTCCTGAGAGGTACATTTGTAAATAAAGTATTCACATCAAAAGAGCACATTGTCTTTGTCTTTATATTTATGTTCTTTAAGTAATTAATCAATTCAAATGAGTCAGTCAATGAGTACTTACAATATTGATTTCGGATGGGATTTAGTACTTTTGTAAGCCGTTTCGCAAGGTTGTGTGTAGGCGACCGACACATTGATAGAATTGGACGTAGGGGGGTATTAGGCTTATGAATTTTCGGTAATCCATATAAATTAAGATATGCCGAACCCATAGGTTTTAATAAATTATACTCATCCTTGTTAATAGCATTCATGTTTAACAATTTCTCAAGATTAGAGTTTACTTTCTTTTCTAATTTACGTAATCCATCGGAGTCAATATCAGCCAAAAATTTGCTTATATCACTGAGAATGGATTCCATTTTATTTTTGCAATCGGACTTATTGATAATAACAACACCAGATCCTTTATCGGGTTTAAGTATAATAGTATCGGGGTTATTTCGCAATTCTTTTAATGATTTGAAGTGCTGAGAAGTTAATATGGTTCTCTGTTTCGGTCCAGAAGAATGAAACTGATGAGCTATCTCTACTAGTTTGGCGTTAAACCAACTTTGATTCTCTAAAGAATTGCGAAATAACCCCGATATTATTATACTTAAACCCGATAAAGGATCTGGTGTTGTTATTATCAATAAGTCCGATTGCAAAAATAAAATGGAATCCATTCTCAGTGATATAAGCAAATTTTTGGCTGATATTGACTCCGATGGATTACGTAAATTAGAAAAGAAAGTAAACTCTAATCTTGAGAAATTGTTAAACATGAATGCTATTAACAAGGATGAGTATAATTTATTAAAACCTATGGGTTCGGCATATCTTAATTTATATGGATTACCGAAAATTCATAAGCCTAATACCCCCCTACGTCCAATTCTATCAATGTGTCGGTCGCCTACACACAACCTTGCGAAACGGCTTACAAAAGTACTAAATCCCATCCGAAATCAATATTGTAAGTACTCATTGACTGACTCATTTGAATTGATTAATTACTTAAAGAACATAAATATAAAGACAAAGACAATGTGCTCTTTTGATGTGAATACTTTATTTACAAATGTACCTCTCAGGAAAACTGTTAATATTTTGTGTGACTATATTTCTTTGAATAACCTTCCACTGCCATTTCCTGTTAACACTCTTAAAGATTTATTATTATTGTGTACAGATAATGTAAAATTCACTTTTGAAGGTGAGCACTTCCGACAAATAGATGGTGTAGCTATGGGGAGTCCTCTAGGACCATTGCTGGATGATGTGTTCATGGGATATGTTGAAAATTTAGTTGAAGACTCAATTCGAAAGATGGGATTGTATAAACGATATGTTGATGATATAATAGTCATAGGGGATAAAGGTAAAAGCATAAACCGCTTGTTAAAAGAATTCAATAGAAGTCAAAAGCACATTTCTCTTACATGTGAAGAAGAGAAGAACAACAAACTTCCTTTTCTAGACATCCTGATCAGTAGGAGAGATGATGGTTCCATCCAACGTGCTATATACAGAAAGCCAACATCGACAGGGCAATATCTTAATTTTCATAGTCACTGCCCTATTCATTACAAACGCGGTCCAATAAAGAGCTTATTCAATAGAATCAATCGTATTTGTACTAATGATACTATTGAAGTCGAGATGAAGCTCTTGACTAATACGTTAGTGAATAATGGTTATTCCCTGAAGTTCATAAACCGCTGGAAGAGTTGCAATACGATTAGACCTATGACGCTTCTGGCACCCAAAAAGCGAGTTTATATTACGTTACCATTCAGAGGCGACACAAATAGTCTCATGTTGAAACGGAGATTTAAATTAGCTATCAACCGGACATTTTATGCAGCCCAACTTGTCATTAATGAAAAGACAAGGTCTATGTTTCACCAAAAACCCAAACAGCACGTAAGCGATTGTGTCACATCCCATTGTGTCTATCGATTTACATGTATGTGTGGAAACACGTACATAGGGAGGAGCAATCGTGATTTGCAATTACGGGTGGGTGAACACATACCAAAATGGTTGCAAAAACAAATGGATTCCAATGGTCAAATAAGATCACAGGATAGACAGACATCATCCTCCATTGCGAAACATTTGATTGTGACGGGTCATAAGGTTGACATCAAATCAGCATTTGTAGTGTTATACAAAGGCCTTCAAGGACGTATACTAAGGTTTATTGAAACCTTTGCTATACGGAAACTGAAACCCCCCTTGTGTTCAAAAACAATTTGTCCTTACACTTAACTTTGGTTATACTGATTTATTATCCAGAGTTGTTATCACATTTGTTTTTGTGTACTTTAATATTTTTTCCTTTATTATGACTTACCCTTAACCTGTCTAGTTGACCTTCTAATTTCCGTATATGAATGTTCTTATCTAGTATATGTGTGATGAGATTGTTTGGAATGTATTGTGCTAATATATCACATAATTCTGATAAAGTTCGTCTTCTCATTGGATTATCGAAATTTATCAAATGCACTAATTTCACTGGTTGAAATCAGGAATCGATTGAAGGTAGACCACCATGGAAAACCTAGAAGCACTGGACTGCCGTTCCGTCCTAGTACGGGACTTCTCAGCAGTGCGCATCCACGATCCCGCTCCTTGCGAGATTCGAACCCAGGACCTATCAGTCTCGCACCAGGCGCTGAACCAGCTCACTGAAGACAATGGTGTACGGTGGCGCAACTTCGTGGATTGGTTGAAGTTAGACATTAACACCGTTGGATACCGGCTCAGTGGTCTAGTTGGTTAAGCGCCTGGCGCGAGACTGATAGGTCCTCGGTTCGAATCTAGGTAATCAATACCATTTCCAACCCAGTTTCCTTTACAGGGACCCGAAAAAGAATTATGCTTCTAAGGTGTGGGCAACTCGGAATGGACAACTTTGCTCATACCCCTATCAGTACTCAAGACAGTTTACGGAGGAGACAACGTTTGATTGATGATAACATTCAATGTGATTGTAAATGTACACTTTAAAATCAACGAGAAACTTGGTGAATTTTACAGTCAAAGAATATAGCAGCTAAATAATGAATACTGCCAATAGTGGAATATTAAATGATTATTGTAGTAGAGTTCAGGACTATTATATGACATGTACCAATAACTGTGTAGGGATCAATGAGCCCAACATTCCGTGATGGGTGATACATCTTCTGACTGGACTCTCTTCTAATAACCTCAGGCTAAATCTGCACGACAACTTGAACACGAGAAAAAAGGCGCGAAATGTGAAAAGAACGCTTTACTCTAAGGTTAGTTTATGTACAGAAAGTTGAAGGCATTTATAGCATTTCAGATGTCCTTGAGCTTCTGTAAAGTTCTGGAATCCTTCTAAACATAGTAGCGGGTTAGGTAATCATCTAATCAGAAATGTGACACGTGATTCTTAACATTCTAGACGCTTCTGAGGAACTTCTATTCAATACTGAATAGATAAAACGTTCCCCAGTGTTTTCAGGGACCCTTTGGGCTTTTTTCAAGGGATTTTTCGCAGTCTTCCTAACAATCAGCATATCAGATCTGAAATGATTTACATTTATATTTCATTTACCATTATGAAAACGGCACTTTCATGAACTAATAATAATAAATAAAACGTTCAACCTCTCATTGTTAACTTGTCTGCAAAATAGAAATTTAAGGCTTTATGGATCGACGTAGTGTGATTTCTGAGGAAAAACGGAACTACATAAAAACCTGTGAAGCCGATTCTGGAAGTTTGAAAATACGAATAAAAGCTATTTGGCATAAAAACAGTCTTCATGGATCACTGATGACTAAGTTTAAGTTGCAATTTTTATTAATCAAAACTGGTTCCATCAAATTTCAATATTTTACGTTTATGGTCAATAAAGTTTGAAGGTAACTTATCTATTAATAGGACTGGAGATTCGCGGTTTAGTCTCCGACGAGTTCTAGAGTTTGCACTTTTGAGTACTACTATTGATCCTTCAGTGGGACAGGAAATCAATCTGTTTTGAAATTTCTATTTAGGTCAGTGAAACAATCACTGGGATTTTAAAACAGGTGTGGTGAGACTAATTTATGAACGACCTTTGAGCGACGCCAAAGTGACCTTGAGAATATCCACCTACTTACTATGGACAATTGAAGGGTTATAAAGCAGTGTGAAGAATAAGGATTGTGGGTTGCAGTTGATGGTTAGGATAAGGAATTGGATTTAGGGCTTTCATCATGAACTAACATCAGTTAACATGCCAGAACGCTATTTAATCAAATGGATGAGTGAATTTCGCACCAAAATCCAAGACCTGTTATCTTACATCTGATTGGTTCGTCCATAAATTATAGTCTTGCCAAAGAAGTTATCAAATACTAGGAACATAGAAACACAAAGAAACGCGTATACACTAAACAAGAAACGAAGTCAATGCAATACTTACAATCAATAGGAGGAACCAGAAATATTGATGAATTAAGCTTAATATAGTGACTAAACTGCACATGATTATTGCATCTTTAGCTTGTCTGAAAAGAAGAGAACACCGTTAACAACAACAAGTAAATAATAAAAAAGTATACAATATTGAAAAAAGCAGCTATATAAAGTAAAACGAAAAGAATGAGAGAAATGTAGGCCAATGTGAACGAAAACAAATCGAACAATCAATGCATCATGAGATAAATGAAAATAACTATAAGTTATGAGAATGTGAGTTGTGTTCTGCTTTCAAGAATAATTTAACTCTTCTCCAGCTACTCTTCAGTTGTTACCCACTATTCTGAAACAATCAAATTGACAAACTGAAATACGTTATCCATACCTCGATTCTTAATAAAGTTCCAGAACGTATATTTAAATTAAAGCAACGGTAAGTAGTAGGCCTTCAAAAATCCTTAAGGATGATGATCTAGTTTTCGCAGTTAGACGGACTGAGATATTAATCAAAGTCTGCAAACACGGTGTAATCTTATATAAAACTGGTCGCAATTGCTAGACATCAAGATTTTTAGAATAGGACAAAAATCCTCTCATGATAACTATAGAAGAATCGGTTTGAAGAATATATTATCCAACATGGTGGCTAGAAAAATCATATGAATTCTAAGACTCTTGAACAGCGAAACTGAGGAAACTAAGCTGGTTTTAGGCCTGGACATGTGCTGAGGAGGCTAAGTCCACAAATACAATATGCTAAGGAGTCATTCAGTCAGTTATATGAAACATGGGACCTGGCTCATATGTGCATTGGTTTAAGTTGCCACATTAGCTTAATGAGATAAAATGATCAAGAAGTAACAGTATTATTAGTAATAGGACAGATTAGTTGGAGAAATAAAATAAAAATTATACGGAGATTTCAGGACTCAAGATACAAGGAAAAACAAACAGTGAATGCAACCGCAAACATTTTTGAGCACACACACACACAAAATACATTACAAAGAGATTAATCTTAAAATTCACAATTTTTTTTTATATTTTATTTTAACACATAAGTATAGGTACAGGGAGGCACCAAATACATATGCGCCACACAAATCTCAATTGATTTGTGTGGGGGCTGTGATACTGCCCGGGTGCCCAAACCGAACAAGGTGGTTTTCTTAGGGGGCCACACCCCGAGCCTTCGACCTGAACGTCTGACCCACAAGGCAGTGGAGCATCGTGAGGAGATGCAGTCCCATGGTAGCCGGTGACCAATGATTGGTTCATACGCCATTTGTTCCCACAGGATACTGGAGCCCATGTGCACCATTGGTTTGGGGTCCGGTTAAAGCGCCAGACATTCGCTTTTCGTCCTCACATTTTTGTAAACAACACCCCCGCCACGAGAAGGCCGTGAGTAGGACTTCCCTGGCAGAGGCTATATACGCATGGCCATGTGAGAGCATTTCGAGAGGGAGAGCGGACTCTCCCCCACTCTCGGCCGTACCAGGGCATTTGGGGGCTAAAATTCACAAACTGATTGAAGAAATGGTAAATTATGAAAGCTGCTTTTAGGTTATCAGTTTGCCTAATTTGTAGTCAGTAAATTATTTACAGCTATTTTATGTAACTACCTTACTTGCTTGATCATAAGCAATCGTGTAATTTATCAACTATTGTCATTTCTTCTTCCTGATTTATTGTATTTTAAATAGCAGCCTTACTTCCTGTTTTGCATATATTGTATTTTCTAATTTGTTGTGCTTTGTGGTCTAATTATCCCCATATTTAAACGTGTACTCTTTTAATCGAATATAGAGATTTCCCGCCACAGTTGTCTTCCCTATTCTCTTCCCAGACAATCAGTATTCATGAAGTCAGGGAATAGGATAGTTCCTTGCCCGCAAGGTTAATTAATTACAAGTTGAACTCACGAATTTGCAGTCTGAAGGTTATACTGAGTAACCTAACGCACCGAGGTTGTTAACTAGTTTAGAGACAACCCTCTCTTGATATCTAACTACAAAAACAAGGGGTTCACTAGAGTTACAATACCTAATAAGTTAAGAATCAAGTTGTTAACTAACAGCGTTTATGGATTCTTTAACTTTTTTCGCTCATTTGCATGCTTTTCCATCAAATGGCCTTAGATTAGATTAATAATAAATGGTATATAATTTAGTTTCTAACCAACGAATAAATTGATATGATACAGAAACAAAAGTTAAATCTTATTGTTCATAGACCCATCCCACAACTGTGAACATGGATTTACGCTGAGTATATTTAAAATTTAAACCAAATGACTTTAGATGATCGATGCAGTCCTCTTTCATTCTCTTTCCAAGTAAACACAAAACATAAAACTAACAAATGCGATCTGGTTTCATTAAATGAATAACAAAACTACATTTTTGTACTTTTAAGACAAATTCTTTTAAATTATGTTTTTCTCCAACCCAAATCTACACCGACTGTAACTGGATTAAAAGTATAAGAATTTGGTCGGTGATCTGGATAGTAAGATTACAGAGATGATAAATGATTTAATTTGGAATAAGTGCTAGGCTTCAACCAGAATTCTAAAATAGAGGTGTTGAAATTGAACTAGAATCTATGGACGAACCAGTCAGATTTACGATAGCAGATTTTGGATTTTACGTGAATTCTGTTAGTCTTTACAGTTACAGCGCATTCTTCCAGTATAGTTGGCATCAGTTTGTGATGAAAACACTCACTCCTATTAAAACAAATAATTAACCCGATTTTGGACCATATAAGCGATCAAAATTTCGCAAGGTCCCTTTTGTATAATCAATCAAAATAATTCATAAATGTTAGTTTCATCGGTGTTCACATCATTGTAGTATTCAGGACTTAGGAGTTTATACAAAACGAAGTGACATGGATGAAACAGCAGAGATAACTCTTACCGACACTTTTATACGTTGATACCACAGCTTCTTATTCTACTATCTATGACTATTCCAAAACAAAATTCTTGTAGAGAAGATTTATAGGCTAGAATCCAAAAAAATTAGTTCACATTTCAGTTCATCCAATTAAGTTCAGATTAAATTCGGTCTTTGAAAGGAATAAATTGAGCCGAGTCATCACCGAGTATTTCTGATTGATTTACAGAAGTAAAGCGAAACAACAACCATGGGTGGTTGAATGAAAATTACTCATTTCGAGGAAATGATTGGAGTCGAGATTTCGAATTACCATATGTTAACTCAATAAGTTAAACATAAGATGAGACACATAAGACTTAAAATTCTGGCTTTGTCTCCTGAAGCTGATTGTGTGTGTGAGATGCGCATTGCTGAGTAGAACAAAACAGTTGTTTAATGATCCTTGGCATTCGATGACTCACTTTAGCTTAAATCAGCCTGTCAGTCGATTAGTTAGTGGGTCATACCCAATGCAGAAACTGGGATGTATGCACATAAGTTTAAGTTGCCACAGAACAGCACAGATACAAACGTCAGAGTAGTAAAAGCAGTAAAAGTATCAGTAGTAATAGAAAACATTTTTTCAATTACAGTCTAGTTAATCTCAGTTCATGATCTAAATTTTGAAAATTCTACAACCTTTAGAAATCCCTCCATACTTGCAATATTTTTACCCAAAATAACCCAATTATTTAATAAGGGAACAAAGCAAAAAGCGTAAATCACTTACTCTCCGAGTCCGCCGGATCCTATATTTAAATCTAGGCCAGCATCCACCAATTGACGAGTTCCCCTTTCGTTGACAGCGTAAGATGGTGAAGCCATGTAGGACATAAATTTATAGGCAGCTAAACAAGCACCGAAGCAGCCTAGTGATAACGTTATGTAACGTTTTGTATAGGTTGACCAGAAAAATGTTAAAGTGATAACGAAATAAACTATCTGGGAAAAAAACAACATTGACAATAACGAAGGTTGTAACAAAGTGTCCAAACACTAAGTCTAAGATAAGAATATAACCGATAATGAACATGATAAAATTAACCGCTCAGAGACGAAGTAAGAGCTGAGAATGATATGTATCGTTCCAGGTTGCACATCTGACATTAACAGACTGAAAGAGGAAATTAGCAAGTTGAAAACCAATGAAGAACGAGTCAGTGCCTAATACAACAGAAGGTTAAACATATGTGCACCAAAAAGAACGATGATGAGTGTTAAATAGTACCATGTTCAAGGAAGAGAAAAATATATAACGGATACAACTGCACTATTGTGACTGACTCTGAGAAATGGTATTTATCGCCTCTACCCATAAACTATGATTATCCACCGGAACACAATCGAGAAATAAGTTGCTAATGACACAAGTCAGTTTAGCAATCAATGGCACCAGCAACTGATGCCATGCTCGTATTTAAGCACACCTATCCTTTTATGAAACTACCCCAATACAAGCCAATATTATTAGGATATACTATGGATATACATTTGTGACATGTGTCCCAAAGACGCCAATCGACAGCCTATAATCTCATCAGTCGAATAACTGTTTTGGAAACCAACCTTAATACTAACGTGTGAGTCAGTCACTTGATGGTTATATTATTACTGAGTAATGCTTCCGAGAAGACTATGATTGGAGACTTGCATTGTAGACAAGATTAAATATCAAGTATTATACTAACGAAAAATTTCCATTTAAGCATTTAGTAAAGACAAACTTCGACTATATATATATATATATATATATATATATATATATATATATATATATATATATATATATATAAAGAGAGAGAGAGAGAGAAAAAAGAGAGAAGGTCATTACGAAAAATTAACTGAAAAGAAATTTCTTCGCCTAACTAGTGTTTACAAAGTATAATAACTTGGCATACCTAATATTTAATCTAGACTCGGTTTTTTGGTAATTTAACTAAAGATGTTTTGGAATTCCTTATTGTATAAGAAGAAATAGCTGGTAAGAATGGACGAAATATTCAACTGATAGTCTTCAATCGTCTGAATATGTCTTTAAAGTAACGTTTCAGCATATAGTTGAAAAGATAGGTGGGGAATAACAAACCTAAAGGTTTATTTTGAACTTTTCTCTCACGAAATTAAGGGGTCTTTACCATTATGCTTAATTTCAAGTGGAAATGAGGTTTTCTAGTTAAAAGAAAAGATAACCAGGGATAATTCAGAACGTGAAATAAATATGCATCGATCTACGCTATCAGATTGTTCGCACCAACGCGGGAAGGATCGAAAATAGTAAAAATTAGGTAAAGAAACCTGTAAAATCGAAGAATGAGTGGTGTGAAATAGTTTAAAACTTTTGTCATGATGCAAACTAGATACAGCTTACCAGTATCACTAGTTTTAAACCACAGAGCCCAAACTTTACAACAGTTAGTCCTAGTCGGTTGCGAATATTCACCAATAAGTTTGCGATTTTTCTTTATTGTTAAGTTTAAAATATCGACGATTTCAAAGATTATTATGAAATGCATGAGTTTAGTCATCATAATGTTTCGTTCCGTCATCGATAAACTGAGCCATAACAATACATTGAAGTGTGTGGTAGAAACACAAGTGCAAAGTAGATCACAAAGGCTACAGCTGCTGAGAGTTTAGAACTTCATTTAATCTCCCTTATCTATCAAGTACTCTGAGTCTAACATTAGCAAAGCTCATTTCATGGTTTCAACACAAATAACTAGTATTTTGGGAAATATCCGTGATTGGGTAGTTATATTGACCGTTGAACCAAACTACACCGTAGGGCTAGTGAAATGTCACCGGGCCATAGCTAAATCATCTGACAGTTGGTTCAATGAATGTCGAATAGTTCACCGATCCTCATCACGTTCAAGGACCACCAATGCTCATCAATTAGTGGCACGCCAAGTACTGGCCCATGCGGTGGTGGTCGCACTCTCGTTCTTGTACCTACTCTTACTAATATATTTCTGTAATAACGTCCTTTGTGTTGTGCGGTCTTCAAAGTGACCACAGTACCTTGATAAGACGAAAGGGTAATCCAAGTTAGGTGCTAACGACATGGTATGACTTCGAAGTTAGCAGGTTCGTCATATCATCCCTAATCATTTGACACAGATAATCCACGTTAGTGAACTATAACACTACCAAGTCAACTGGGGATCCAGAATAACATTACAGTATTGTGGAGAATTCCTGCAGTTACAGTTCGCAGTGCTTCGGAAAGTTCTTTTAACGTCGTACGCAAATGACCGGTTACTCTTTTCTCTCTAATACATATCTAGTCTGAAATGAAGTTTTATAGAATTTCACCACTCAGCTTCTCGAGTAAATTTAAGTGAGTCTTATCTAAACTACTATATATAGAGCGAATGAAAGAGATATAGAAAGTAATATTGTTAACAAATTATTGACCTTGTCGATAATAAAGAATTGTGAATCTAAAAGTAGTATGATTAAATTTTTTTAAATAATACCTTGAGTGGATGGATTGCGAAGATAATAATTTAGTGAACATCTATACGTATATATGTCCAGCGAATAGTACTATTTGCTGCCAACTGGCTTCTTACAACTGTTAACACAAACCAACATGCACGTAACCCGTCAAAATGAATAGACTTACACTGTCCATTGCAATCAGTTTAAGTTACCTCGAACACTTAATTCTATTTTCTGATGACATCGACACTTAAACTCAGTATAAACTAGTTAAAGTGAGTTTTACCGACGAATCTGAAACTACATAATGACTCGATATATGTGTATTTGAAACATTGGTAAGAATTAAAGTTTGGAACAAACATAAAAAGTGGTTATGAACGTCCCGATTTAAAATAACTATGAACAAAGGACTTACATAACAGGAAAGAAACAGATAGCGATAGAACTTAAGTGTCCGTACATTTTCTTCATGAATGAGCTTTTCACTCTTAGTTCCTTCTTTATGGGGCTTTTTCTGGCTGAGCATCACCAAAAACAAAACGTGGCCTTGGGGTAACAAAATATTCGGCTACGGCGGTCTTCAATACTCAATACGACTACTCCATATACTTCTAATTTCAAATAACTGGCGCCAATCAACTGGTTTCTCTGCCCTCGCTTCCTGTTGTCCGAGTACGAATCCGGATATCTGACAAAATTCAATGAGTGGTAGTTTAGTCAATCTGTTCCACTATTTCTAATCAGTTTCGTAGTTATTTGTGGATTTATAAATCTTGTAATTCAAACAAATGGGTCTATGGTTTCTGAATACCAGTATTCATTACAGCGACAGGCAAGAGGTTGTTAGGTTGCACTTTAAGAACCCAAAAAAGATACTACGAATACTAAAAGAGATCGATTGTTGTAAGAATAAATAAATAGTCTGGTTAGTGGAGGATGTGTGAGGAGAGGTAATTGAAAGAGTAAGTAGGGAAGAGGTGCCGATAACAAAATTTGACGCATGCAATTTTGAAAAAAATAGTGGTATTTTTTCTCCTTCGGTTAAATTTACAGTTTTGATTGTTTGTTTCTCATCACCACTGATTTTTTCTCTTTAATTGGATTTAGTTCAGTCGGAGTAAAATCTAGAGTATCATCTTTTTCAAAAGTAGATTATCACCAGTACTTTTTTGAGCTCATTGGTTCTTCTTGTTTGCTGCGTTTTTGACCTGAATGCTTACTTTTTTCACTTCTTTTCTGATTAACCGGCTTCAAAGAGGTCTGTTCGATACAAAAGCTCAAAAAATTGGTTTCTTCTGTAGTGACCTACCTTTGGCAACAGAACGCGATTGGTTCAATGAAAACAACTATTATTACTACCAATTGTACTAGTGATTGTTTTACTGTGCTCGTTTGTTTAACTAAGCTAATGACAGTTATTGGACTCTCTCTCCCGTTGACTTTGAACTTGTACGAATTCGATTACGCTTAGCACTTACGCTTGTACTCCTTTGGCACGATCTCGGTATTCTTTCGATACCACGAGATAGCTAACAAATACATCTCGACTACAGCCATCATCTGCCTTCTGATATTGGCCTACGGAGATCTTATTGGTTAACTGGAACGTAGTCTTCTTGTAGTGGTGTTCATAGTCAAGCGCGACTCGATACCGCGCTACACTTCTGTCCAAATCCATCCGAATGGTAGGAGGCGGGAAACGACTATAAAGCCTAGTTTTTGGGCTAGGTCTGTTTCTGAAAAAAAAAACCTGACCATCTGAGTCATCGACAATCGTTCAGGATCTTACAATGTGTGTAACGCAATTTTGACTGCCACTCCATGGAGAGAGCTGATGAGTAGGTACAAGTTAAGGATAAGAAACGGATCTATATCGTTAAGAAAACGTCAGCATCCCAAACAGCGAATGAGAAATTGATGGTATATCATAATGACAGTCAGTCGTCTCTCATTTATTCAAGCAGAGTGAAATCTCAACCAAGGATTCGTTTTGAGCGAAACATCGGGTTGGTAAAATTTTTACTTAACCAGCAAGTGTCCCAAGGTATATCTTGGTTTACCCTACTGAAGGTTCATAGACTTTGAAGCCAAACGGACTTGAAACACAATCAAAGTAGGCTTGTAGTAAGCCGATTCGACTATTGTACTTTTTGTCTACTCACTGTAACTTAGACGCCTACTCCATTATGTTAATTTCTGTATAAGTATGATTGAGCGCGTGTTTGAACTTCAGTCTTTAATCTATTCTCCCTTTGGTTGTAATACACAGATAATCAATAATTTATCCATACTTGATCAACACTCATAATGCTATCGAGTGGACATAAACTAAAATAGTCAGGAGCTTCGTCCGTGAAGAGTTGCCACTCGTTAAGCCTATGAAAAGGCGAAAAGCTGAAAACGAACAGAAACTAAGGTTACATGTTGACAAGAAGGACCTTAAAAGTGTAAAAATTTTGGTGTTGTAGCTTTGACAGTGAATGATTTCGAAGCCATATCGAGTGCACTTCGAAGCCATTTAAGTGGTCTTCGGCTCTATCACAGAAACGCTCGAAACTTGCTAAGTAAACAAATATAATCTACTGAGCTAGATACGATCGTAGTCACAGGGATTCGGCTGATGCAGTATGTAGACATGCAGTCGGTAGAATGCAGAAGTATAAATGAGGAGGAGTTCTGTTCACCGGATATACTACCTCGTTTACCGTTACCCATAACACATCCCATGAAATTGAAAGGTGGGCATTGGTTAGTTGCTGCCTTAAATGCAGAGAAAAATAGTTAATGTTTGATTCAGCCTACCACAGTTTAGTAAGTGATGTGTGGTTAGATGGTTTCAACACTTGGTTTCTTCGAACAGAACAACATGTGAGGAACTAGGTACGACCTGGAATCCCAATCATCCTTAATAGTTCCAGTGTTGATGACGTCACGGACCTCCATTATATGCCACCATAAGTTAACATTTACCAGGCAGTCCTAGTCTTTGATCTCCAAATTTTTGTTTATAACGTGGGTGTGTCAGCCTAAGCCAGTCTGTAATGTAAATGCACAAAATATTATGTACTCAGAATCTCCAATAGATTGGTCAACAGAAACAGAGTCTCCCGTGGAAACATCTGAGATGTATTCGAGAATTTTTCCATCAAAGTCACTGCACCTCACATTCCTTGAACCTTACCTAAAGGTCCGAGAAACTCCCGACTGTAGAACAGTAAAGAGGTTGGCAACCTCCTTCGTAAAAGAAGAACATGACAGTGACTTAAGTTGCTGGTTACTGATGAGATAAAATCACAATATCCGGAAGAAAGTTGTACGAAAAGAAAATTGCTAAGGAATCTTGTACTCGTACATAAACCAGGTTAGTAAGAGAAAAGGATATATTCCAGCGTTATAGAGAGACTGTAGTATTTCATCATCAGTGGAAGATGATTATGATAAAGACCAGGCATTCCCGAACTACTTTAGCACTTTATATGCAGTGGAGATGCTCTCACCTTCGGTTCATACACAACCCATACACAGTGGGTACTGTAAGCACTGAAGAACCCGATTTTTTTGGTTTTTTAAACGGGGTGGACATGGGCATATCTATAAAACTGGATGAAATGAATCTTAGGTTACTAGAGGCACTTGCAAATTTTGTGATAAATCTCATAAGCCTTTGTTTTAATCTGTCTGTAACCCAAAGTGGGCTAACAAAAGACTGGAAAAACTCCATAATAAGTCCTGTCTTCAAAACAGGTTCGAGACGCAAGCCCGATAACTGTCAATCAGTAAACCTGATCACCGTGGTTGTCAAGATTTCAGAGAAATTTGTTTTAAAGTCTTTTAAGTATGCAGACGGAAACCGGATTCTTTCTGAAAGACGAAATGGCCTTAAAACAGGTTACTCATGCCTCACAATATTATTAGTAGCTTGTAAACCATGGATGAATATGCATTTGTCAAGTCTCTTCTTAAAGCTATCCACTGATGAGTTTATGGTCGCTTCGATTGTTATGTCTCAGTCGGTGTTTAGTGTATTTATAGTTTCTACCGTAATAATATATCCAGTCGCGAAATTGTAGATTTGTCATGATGTAAATACCTGATATATATATGATCGCATATAGAAGTCGTACTGTGTATACTTACTCGTCCTTTCATGACGGTTAGCAGTATGGTCTTTAGGACTTCTGGAGAACACATTAAGACTGGGAGCAGAATAATGTGTCCAATAAGAAAGGTAAGTAGTTGCACAGTGATCGCGCCTGTATCGCCTAACCATGCTGTACCGATTAATTGTTCTACCTTCACCATCGCTGACCTACTGTTCGTGTCAAATGTTGAATGTTTCGGATTTTGTCCGGTAGCTTGTCTTCAAAGCACCTATAAATCTCTGAGGATTTAAGCATTTCACCTACTTCAAAATGCCAAATAAGGACTTCATTTAGAATCCTTTAGAGAGACTCCGTTTTTTTGCCAGGCTCTCCATTTGGCCTTGAGCTAACGTTACATCGCTCGCTTAACCCGGAACCTTCTTTTTCGAGCTGTGCGCTGACTCTGAGATAGATTGTGCTGGATAGTATTGTAAATGATGTCTTTCACTATCTTCCAGGAGTCGTACACTGTTAGCCTCCAACGCTCTCGAAACCACGGGGCGTATTAAAGATGCCTTCTCGTCATATAGTTCGCTCAAGTGTAGCCAAGGTAGGGAACGATTCCAACTCTACAAAGTATCTCGTTTGTGACCACGTTAAACATGACTGTATCATGGTCAATAATTTCCGTTGGTGTGTGGACATGAATATCTCCAAGTAGAATCTGGTCAATTGTCAGTAATTAGTCCAGGTTTGAACGTTTTCCGTCCCAGTCTCATTTTGCTGCACCGTACACATGTTCAGTCCGTTCAAACCTTTTAATAGTTATGTCAATCCACCTATGGAACCACCCTTAAGGGGTTATGTCCTGCTGGATGAGATTTAAAGACGGAGAGTTGAAGTCTTCAGCTTAGAAACTGACTTAATAAAATAGAATGAGTCTAAGTATTTCTACTCCAATTATTCTTTCACAAATGAACAGAATTCACTGGCCATAAACACTGTTATTTCTGCTTCTCGCCCTTACTTTTCTCTCTTTTGTTTCAATACCCTCATTGTGTACCACCAAATCATTCATAGAACATATAGCTTTGTTCTGCGCCGTCACGTATACCTCAGGGCCTATTTGAGATTTTTATCAAGAAACACAAACTAATAAGTTCAAGTTAACATCTTTGATTGACTGTCCTGTACTTTATTTGTAGTCATTTTCGACCACCAATTCCTTGTCGCGCCAACTTTCGTATTGACATAAGAGTCATACTAACAATAATATTCTAATGTATGAAGAATTTTCCCTTATTTAGATTACTCACGTGCGCTATAACTTATCAACATAGTAGATCAACTTATTCAATGAAAGCATGTAGCATTTGTAACTCATTGTTCTTGCCTGTAAACTGGCATGTCTCATGTAAAATTACGTTATCTGGGAATATATATATATATATATATATTAGTATTTGGCCAAACCACAGGTGTGGTGGATGTAATACTTCCTGGATTATCTAGTGTTTCTGGGCTGTAGTATCTGTGTGCTCCAGTATATTACTCCAGTCAAGTTCTTTGTACCGCTTAAATTGAAGCAACATCATCATGATTCTGTCACCTCAGTTTGTTCATTACTGTGTGATATAATGGATTAGAAGTGACCG